AAGAGCTATAGTGTAAACACTTGAAGGTTTCCTTGCCTCAAGTACCACACCACGTTGAAGGATACAACTTTTGATCAAACTTCTTGATTGAAAGGGGGTAGGTCAACTTTCTTACAAGTTGATCTTGCAAGTCCTATTGTTCGGACGTTGCAGTTGTTGAAGAAGCGTGACCTTCGAAGGAACAACAAAGCCAGCACGAGTGCAGTAGCAACATTGGCCTTGCGAAGATATACCGTGCAGAAATTCACACAAGTGTAATTGTTGGTTCATTATTCAACAACAAACTACATAGTGGATTTTGAGGACGTAGAAGGATTACCCCACCTTCGAACCTCGTTAAAGTTTGCGTGTCTCTCTCCTTTATCTTTACTCTTACTTGCAATATATTAATTGTGAAAACTAACCCATCCATATTGATTACTGCTCACTCTACCCACCAAATTCCGCACACAATCTAAAGTTCACAAGGACTATAGATTAACACTCATTTTCACGTTTTCAAAAGAAACGAAAAAGTTTTAAATTTGAAACAAAGTCTATTCACCCCCCCCCCTCTAGACTTTGTATCTCACCACTTTGGGACCACCATCTAGTAATTTCACATGTAAATAATAATTACAATTATAAGAAATAATTATAATTTACAATAGTAATTTATTCGTACGTAGTGTTTGACATACTGCAAGAAAACATTGATCATGGTCTGATCGACCTCCTCCCATCGCATGAACTCACGTATATTCTTTGGACGCATCCTTAGCTCCGTCTCCTCTGGATAGAGCATGGACTTGGGATCGAGAATGAAGTTGATGGTAGGCAAAGCAGATGTGCGTGTCAGCCACTGACACAACTCTCTGCACCTCGGCCCGAATGAGACGTTTGAGCTCTGTCAACAACATCCGGTACGGGAGAGCTAGGAACAGTGGGGCGTACGCCGAGAATAGGACGTGATTTGCTTGATGAGAAGTCGCCATGTCGAGCCGTGTGCACCGGGGCTACAATATTTTCAAAAAAAAGATACATGAAACACAGCCCAAATGATAATGAATAAAAAAGAACTAAATTTATTTACTTCTTACATCTCCAAGGCCCACCAACGAATTTGGCCATGCAACGAAGCTCCCGATCCCCTCGCAATCGATGACAAACTCTATATGCTCAGTCGGACAAGGAATGGTATACTCACCCATTCCCGGAAGCATAAGGGTCAAAGAGACCTTAACCTGCTGAGGAAGGAGAGGAACACCGTGCACCACATCTCCTGGTGCACGTGGGAAAACCGATCCCGTGCCACTATATAATCGGGTGGATCAGAGATCCTCACGTAACAAGCAGCAACCTACAAAAAACAATTAGTAAACTAATGTCAGAAACAAGTAAATGTAAACCGAACTTGAAACCTAAATTAAAAAATATATGTACATCAGTGAGATCGGCAAAGTCAACAAAATCTGTAGACGCCTTGCTACTACGCTGCCCATAATGAGGTGCTACACAAGGTGTGTGCTGTGACATGGATGCAATGTCTGGAGCACCCCCGTCTCACCGTAATGATCCCCACCTTCCATCAAACAGGCTCCTCGTAAATATGTCCTGAAAGCACGTTGTCTCAACCCAGCAACCGTCATGACATGCTGGACCCCACCGGGAGGTATAAGATACATATCCTACAAGAAAATGAAGAAACAACTTATTATATATAGAACCATGTAACAATTAAAGGTAGCAGATTTGGATAAGTAAAGTGGTACCTACCCAAACCCCGTCTACTACCGTGGCATTCACGTCTTTTGGGACATCATGCCAATTATTATAAGTAATCGGAACTCTCAATCGGGCCTCAAACCCTACAAGTTCAGTAAACTCCAAAACATACAGTCCATGTACAAGCTCCCCACGCTCCCACTCAAGCTCTATTGGCGGGTGACCCTCCCTCCTCCTCTTATACAGCTTCTCGCACTTCCCTGCACCTCTAACCTTTTTCTTCTTCCGTTTGTTTGCCATACCTGCACAAATTCAAAATAATCTAGATAACATAAGTATAATAAAAGTGAAACAACAATGAATTAAATGAAAATGATCAATATAAACAGAAAAAATACCTAAAACATTATTTTAACTTTTTCTTTCCCCCATCTATCCATAATCCTTCTTTCTGATCTTCGCGAATGTATTTTTCTCTTATATCATCTACTTGTGAGTTTGGTGAAATCATTGAAATATGAATTGCTTCATCGTATAAACCGTCGTCCAACTCAATTGATGCCCTCTTCCCTTGTCGAACAACAGACCAATTTTTATCTTTAGGATCAACAATGAAATATATTTGCGTTGCTTGAGAGGCCATTATAATTGGTTCCTCACGATGACCCAACTTTTGAAAATTCACTAATTTAAACCCCATGTCATCTTATTTAATCCCCTTGTTGATATCCACCATACCCATTTACACCAGAAAACAAGAATTGTTAACCTTTAACCCCATGTTATCTGATTTAATCCCCTTGTTGATATCCATGCACCCATATCCACCCCTTATTGTCTACGTTTTATAAAGTTTAAAGGTGTGATTGTTTTATGTGTTGTTTGTGTGTTTGTTTCCCCCCTGAGTTTACTTCTGAGTTCGGATTGCTGTTGTGGTTTCATCTCGTATCTCTTATTTGTTACCCTTATCTTTATGTTATTTGCATTTTTATCTTTTTAGAATTTTCATTCAAAGCCCCCATATCTGTTAGCTTAGTTTTAGTTGTTAGTTAAGTTAGTTTTTAGTTAATAAAATTGACTAGTGAACTGATTTTCATAGCTTAAAAAGTAACTTTCCCCGTGGGATCGACCCTTATTTGCCCTATCTATATGTTTTAATAAATATTAATTCATAAAGGGGGATTTCAGTTAAGGAAAATAATTAATTAATCTGTAGGTGCTACGACACACCTAACAAATTTTGGCGCCGCTGCCGGGGAAAGATTTTTTTTAAATGAAATTCAGTTTGCTATATTTCAAAAAAACAATAAACATGAAAAACAATAAAAAGGAACCAAAAAAACTCAAAAAAAAGGTTCGCTTCAAAATAATAAAAAAGAGAAAACTTAAAAAAAGCTTATAACTAATGATTTTAAAAAAATGAAAAAAATTTAGTTGTTAACCTTTAATTAACATATATGGAACTATAAGGACACCAGATTGCCTTGAATGCTACTATATTATGGATTTAGTACTTTACTTGTTGGTACAAAAGCAAAATGGAATCTGAAGTTACAAAGGAGGGTTAAATAGGCACTTTTGAGGTGTAAAAAAAAAGCTTGACAAATGTTGATAGTTTTTGCACTTGTATAGGTGCCTATGTTTCACAGATTACCTTAAAGAGCCTAAATTGTGTTACCAAAGAGATGGGTTTAAGAAAAGTAAAAGATGAATTGTGCCAAAGAAAGAAGGTTGGATGTTACAGCTCTAACTGCAAAGGCTTGACCAAAAACAGAGGGGATATTGCTACTCTTTTCGTGTACAAAATGTTGGCAGAGTCTTCAATATATGCCCTTAACTTGAAAAGGATAGAAAGGAAAGATATAAGAGAGGAGTGAAAATGTTCTTTTTTGTCATTTTTTCATCTTAAAATTTTGAATCAACCGAATCTTAAAAAGAAAAGAAACTTCTTCCCTAAATGCATTTGTTCAAAGGTGTCCGAAGAAAGTAAAAGAACAGACTAAGCTATGCATTCTAGGTTAGTGAATTGAACTCATTCATATTTTCAGTTGGAATTCAATGGATAATGCTCAATGAAATGAGGGGATCCTCCCTTTAAATGATTTACAAAACTTGAGAGCTTGAGCATTTAAACTTCTAAATTTTTGGACTATTTGAGGGATTATTTTAAAAAAAGAACTACCAATATTGTTCTTAGTGATTAGCCTGCTAATATCCTTACTAAAGCTTTGGTTTATTCTCTATTTGTTTATTTGTTGTCCAAGTCGGGCACTCGGAATTTGAGCGCTCCAGTTTGAGGGGGTGTTAACATGGACCAAATGAGAGTGTAAAAAGTTTAGCGCAACTGAACTGTTTTCCATTAATCATAAACCGATATATATATATATATATATATATATATATATATATATATATATATATATATATATATATATATATATATAAGTACATAGACGGGCTACAAGTACAGGCCCAATAACACAATATCTACGGTTAATTACAAATATCCGCTAACACTCCCCCTCAAGTTGGAGCATGAAGACCCCGAATGCCCAACTTGAATAACAAGAAATATAAAACAGGTTTGGGTAACGGTTTAGTAAAAATGTCAGCCAATTGATAGAGCGTGGGAAGATAGCGTGTAGACATCTCATGGCGCTAAACAGATTCACGAACCGTATGACAATCAACATCGATATGCTTCATGCGTTCATGGAACACTGGATTTGCTGCAATATACAAAGCTGATTGATTATCACAATATAAATGCGGAGGATATAAGATAGGGACACCTCCTAACGTGCCCAAGTATGATTGTTTTCCAAAGCATCAATCTCCTGCTGCATAGCTACACGCCAATTAGCATGTTGCATGGCTTCCTTGAAATTTCTAGGAACCTCATGGGATGCCACAGCCGCCAAAAACCCACGATGCCTGTCATGAAATTTTTCATAATGAACAAAATTATGGATAGGATACCGAGTACCTGAAGAGCGAGAAGAGGCAACGGAAGGAGCAACAGAAGCCAATGTCTGGACGGAATGACAATAATAATCGGCCAGGTGAGGGGGGGCGCCGTTGACAAACTAGGGGTGGGGGTGACGGTGACGGGGAGCTAACGGGGCTGTCATGGTCGGTTTGATGAAGTGCGACCACGTCCTTGGCCCGAAGATGGAAACCCAATAATCAAGTAACAACGATCTGTTGTATGGCCTTGTTTCCCGCAATTAGTGCCCTGGTATGGATTGGACCCGGTACGTGGAGCAGCAAATGCCATAGCGTCGGTATGATCATCCCGAGCACGTACAACGCTACGGTGACGCTCCTCCTGGGTGATGAGATAAAAGTCTTTGTTCAAATCTGCGAGCGGTTGAGTACCCAAGATTTGTCCCCGAAGAGTACCAAACTGCTCATCATCAAGCCCCAACAAAAATGTTCTTGTTTTCTCCTTCTCAGCATTTGCCCTCAAAGTTGCCGCAGTTGGGCATACACAACCACACGTGGGATCCTCGACCACGTACAATTTATTCCATAAAGTGACAAACTGATTGTAATACACAACCACCGTTTGACCTTTTTGCCTAAGATTCTGCAACTCATTCTCCCATTGATAAATCTGAGGCTCGTTTATGGTACTATAACAAGTCTTCAAATCTGACCATAACTCGTGAACCACGGTATGAGAAGCAATACTCGACTGTATAAGCTCATCAACGCTATTGAAAATCCAACTGCAAATTATGGAATTATTTGCTTCGCACGCTTCCAATTCCGCAGGATCAGTAGGTTTAGGCATTCCCGTAGGAGACAAAAACCCCGCCTTACTATGTCCCTTTAGAGCATTAACAATAGTTTTCTCCCAAGTATCAAAATTTTCACCCTTTAACACATGCTTTGTCAGAGTATTACCTGGACCCTCAGACGGATGGAGATAATATTCTGACGACGAATCGTGAATCAAACGAGTCTTCTTGGTAGTTGATGTCATCCCAAGAAATCGACACAAGACACGGTGGAACACGTACACGGTTTGGCCGACTACACCAGTCGACTACCGCCAGCAAACGAACGACTTCTTCGCCGGAGAAGAGAGCCTAATCGGAGAACAAGAAAGGCACGACGCCGGCCTAGGGTTTGGCTGTTGAAGATGTCGAAGAACAGGGACGCATGAGAGGCCTAGGGTTAGGCTTTGATACCATGTAGAAAGTTTAGCGCAAATGAACTGTTTTCCATTAATCATAAACCGATATATATACAAGTACATAGACGGGCTACAAGTACAGGCCCAATAACACAATATCTACGGTTAATTACAAATATCCGCTAACAGAGAGCGAATCGAATCCCAATGGGCTTTGGTTTTGGTTGTTTCCTTGTTTATGGAGTAGTTTTCTTTATTTAAAAGATTGCTTCCTTCTCTATAAATAAATAAGAAGCCCTTTGCATTAAACAAAACTTTTGAAAAAAAAGATCTCTTCGTGATATTTGATTTTAACACGTCCCAAAAAACATTTCTAATTTCAACTAAAATCTCTCTTTCACCTATATTATTATCATATTTTTGACATCATATCTATTTGCTACTCTGAAGTATTAACGTAATCATCACATTATATCCTACCATACAACAAAGTAACAACAAAACTAATAGAATGGCACCAGTCGGAGATATGCCTCTTATTGAAGAGGAGCAGGAGCCAACATATGTGGATGTAAGTCAAGGGGATTGGAAAGCACTTCGTGATGGAGGGAAACCAAGGTACGAATGAGTGTCACAGTTTGACGACCACAAGCATGGCAGTAGGATTACAAGACATAAATACCTGCGTTATTATTATTCTTATTTATTTTAATGTAGATTTTATTAGGTGAGCGAAATATAAGTTTCTTCATAGTTTCTTTACAGGTGTTTACCTCGTCACTTTTCTTAAACTGATAGAATATATAATGTAACATCCTAATCCATCCAGGTCTGTAGCCACATTTGGACTAAAGTATTAATTTGGTAACATCACAATTTAAAACATTTAAAACTTTATATTAAAACAACTGTTCAAAATATTTGGAATAACATCGGAGAATAATTATTTAAAACAGTGCGAAAGCGATTTATAAATTACAACAGTATGGTCAACCCATAATTTAAAATGTGATAAAATCATTTAATCAAATAGTAAGTTTGTACTCGTCCACGCATTGCCTCCATCTTAATATGCTCCAGGATGGGCTTCACATTTATTCTCTCTCATACCTACGTGTAGAAAGATGAAAAAATGTCTACACGCTCAGCAATGAAGCTGAGTGGTACCATGGAACAACAAAAGAATTCACAAAATAATTTCCTTCACAATATCAATCACATATATTTGTTCAAACATTAATTTTTTTCACATTAAAATTTGTCTTTGTTTTAACGGTAATGAATATAATGAATTCAAAAATCCATCATTCAGATTTGTACAGATGTCAATCCACAATTCACAACAATTACGTGTCATTTTAGTTATCACACCATTCATCATTTGTCACACATAACTTTATATCAAACTTTATCATAAGTAATTATTCGTAACCTATTCTAGGCTAAGAACAAATCATAACAATGATTTTAAACTATTCTTAGTCTAAGGCCAAATCAAAATAGGGCTCTTAAAATATTCTTAGTCTAAGTCTAATTTATATTGACCACAAACCTCTTAAACTATAATTAATTTAAGGTAGAACTCAAAATCATGATCTATCCTATGAGTCTTATAGGTCATGCTCAGAAACCAAATAGCAGTTTGCTCACCGTCGGATTGGGTGGTTCCCCAAACAAGTAATCCTCTAGTTTGGTTTATAGATCATGTACATCTCTTTTGACCTAGGCATCCAGACATCATATCCGTGAGACCTAAACTAATCAAGTCACATGGAGTCTATCATAGAGGTCTTCTAGGTATAGATAGCCTTAATCATTAATTTAGAACAATAGTTTTGTGTCACTCAAGATACCACCTTAAACATAATCAATTTATCGTAATAATTTCATTATTCACGATCATAGTTATAATTATTCAAGACAAAATCATACAATCATATGGTTATAATTTAGAAATCATAATTTCAATCACAAATATCCTATAGTTTATTTTGTTCATAAATAATATTTCTATATTTAATCAAGATAAGATCATCATCATTATTATATAATCATATATATTTACACAAGGCACTATTTTAATCACCATAATCAATATTTAATAATAATCACCACCATATAACATCTATGACAAGTAGCGGTTTAAAGTCGAGTGTTAATTCCTAACTTACCGTCAATCAATGATTGGAAAAAAATTAAAGAAGAAAGGTTTTAAGGAACGGAGAGAGTATTATAATTCAATATACTTTTCTCAGAAGTTAGAACCAAAGCGTGTAACTGTTTGATCAAATACTATTCAAAATGGGTAATGTTTTGTGGGACAAAGGGAGTACAACTTTCTCAATATAGGATTATATGTTTTTATTTCCCAATGTAGGACCATTGGTCATTATTATTAGTCATTATTCAAGTAAATATCCACTGGTGGACAAGAATTCCACGAAATAACTCGACTCGATGTGCAGATCGTAAAAATAATAGTGAATCAAGAATTTGAGAATTCCAAAATTATACGTTATGTTTAGCTTGAGGATCCTTGTTCCGATCCTCTCTATTTCTACATATCTATCTACATAATTAATGTAATTATCGATTATGGAAGCTAATTCCCGTGATTTGCGCGATCCTATTTCTCCGGCTCTTTCTCTGCAACCTAACCGCGGTCTCCTTCTCAGCAGGCGGATTTCCAATGGCGCTTTGGTCCGGGTCAGCTCAGGGCCAAAGCCTTGGGCCAGCTCGATACTATCTTTCAAATACCCGCGGGTCCTAAAACACACCTGGGCACATAGGTTGGGTTGCCCGGCAGGAAACGACCCATCATCCACCATCAGTAGACATTATTCCTCTTACCAGACTTTAATAGGTACTGAGTAATGCTAAAGTCACAAACAAACAATTCACAAAATTCACAAACTTGCCTTTTTAATACTTTTCTAGAAATAAGATGCACTCAAATAATAAAAGATATTTTAATTTAAAATTCACAAAAGGCAAGTTTGTGAAGTTTGTGAACTATATATTTGTGACTCTAACATTTTCCATAAGTACTATTTAGGGAATAAAATAGTTTAAATCCGGCGTATTTTTTAAACAAAGGTGTCCATAAAAAAGCTAAGGGTCGTATGGTAGTAAGTAAAACGCACGCTATGATGCATAGGGTCTGTTTGGGAATAGTGTTAGAGATTAACGTTAGCGTTTTGGATAAAATTATAATGGTGTAGATTACTTTGAAAACGCTAAACGCTGTTCATAGATAATATTTTCAAAACGCAATCGCTAATCTCTAACGTTGTTTCCAAACATGCCCATAGTAAACTTCAAATTCATTACACTTTCGTATAAGTCTATCCAATCCATAACCCATTCGCCCATACCACTAAATCAGTCGTATGGAAACCATCCAATTCAAATTCCAATACTTCAAGTTTTCCCTAAATCTATAAATAGTCATTCAGCAATCACTTCATTGTACCGCACATCCATTATTTAAGTGATATTAAAAATCATATATCCTGGTCGAGTCCCATATATACAATAGCTTTATTTTTACCCCAAACTAAAACTCCATACAAATTTAAACACACCCAGGCTATCATCATTAATTAGACAATGTCTTCTATGCAAAGAAACATCTGCCAAGTGTTATTATGGGTCCTCGTTATGTTCCTTACGTCAATGCCATCATCTTTTGTTGCTCTTCATCATAAAAACGTTACTCCATACAATACTATTAACCATTTGGGGGAAGAATATGGGCATGACTTTCGTGCATACCCTTTGTATAATAGTCCTGTTGATAGCGCCCGGCGAGGAAATGAGTCTCCCTTGGTAAATTCGACAAGTAGAAGAATTTTAGCTTCCGTTAAGACCGTAAGCGTCGACAACTATGGAGCTAAGGGCGATGGGAAACACGATGATACAACGGTACGACATTACTTATTAACTAACTATATTTAATTAAGTAGAAAAAATCTCACAATTACAAATTTGATAAAGTTTTCTACTCATCAACAAATTTATACCTAGTCTTATATTACATGACAGAATTGAATTCACAATTCTTTCTTTTCATTCGTTTCAAAATAAATTTCGCATGAATTTTTTTCTCAATTACTGCATATTCATTAAATAAAAAAATTAGACACGTACTCACGGTTCGATCAATAGCCTGATTGAGTAATTCACTATAAACTCCAAATAAATTCGTACCATATTTTTCATTTTTGAAAATTTTTAAACTTTGTGAGTTTAAGTTATAAATTTAATATACTCACTCCATGAGTCTGAAAAAATTAACCTATATACCTTAATTTTTAAAAAATTACTTCTATCCTAGGTTAAAATCTACCACTAAAATTACGCATTCCATAAAACTCGACTTTTATCAAAATGCAGAAATTCAATTAGACGGATGGAATATATAGGAAGGGATATATAGAGTGCATTTTAATTGTGAAATATTGGTAGACTACTATAGCATGGTAACACCTTTTTTTGGTCATTTACTGTTGATCGTCATCATATATAATCAGGTATAAATCTTGATAAATTTCCAGGCATTTCGAAAGGCTTGGAAAGCAGCATGTTCATCTACTGCAGCATCGGTTTATTTGAAAGTTTCACAGAAGAAAAAATATCGTTTAAAACCTATTTCATTTTCGGGTCCATGCAAATCAACCATTACAATTCAGGTTAGCTTGCTTATATTACAAGTACTTCCTCTTCAGTCCTTCAAAATTTTCCTCGTTTTAAATTTTTTTTAGTCAAACAATGACACTCATTGATTACAAATTATGAAAAAATATATTGATTTATAATACTCCCTCCGTCCCATAAAGAATGAGACGGTTTGACTTTTTGGAAAATTAAGAGAGTGATATTTTGGTATTGACTTTCCAAAAATAAGTAGGATGTGATGCAGTGGCGGAGCCAAAGAGGAGCAATTGACTGCAATTGCAGTCACTCCATTTTTTATTTTTTAATATATATATATATATATATATATATATATAGAGAGAGAGAGAGAGAAAGAAAGAGAGAGGAAACAGAGCAGAGGGGGTCCGCATATATAATGGAGAGGTGCCATATTTCTGCTTGAAGTTTTTTAAAGAGCAAGTATATCAATTGATAATATGATTTTTTTCTCTACTAATTTGGTGTGATTTTTAATATTTTTTTTTTGTTTTTTATTAAATTAATATGAGGATTATGCTCAAATCAACACTTGTTTTTTAAATTAACAGTTTTGGTGAAGAAATTATACAGAGTACATATATCTCTGTCCCTCAGTATTTGTTCACTTTTGACTTTTTTTTGTCAAAATTGGTAAACTTTGACTTCAAATTAAATACAAATGATATTGAATATTGATACAAAAATAGTGTTATTAGACTTATTATATCATATATTTTCATAATATTATTTTATTTAATTAATAAACAATACGGAGTATATATCTTATTTAATTATAGTTCAAATATTGAAAATAGTTGCCTGAAAAAAGTTTAAACTGAACAAATACTCAGGAACGGAGATAGTAATATTTTTTAATATACTTACATTTAAATTATATGAATGTTAGCTTGACATAAAATTCATTAATTTTTTTTATTGTTTTATACTCTGTATTACCTTATAAATAAATATTTGGGGCATGAATCACGAGCTCCCGGTAGAGCGCACCCACTACTCCTAAATCCTGGCTCCGCCACTGATGTGATGGGTAGATTATTAGAAAAAAGGTATGATGTGATAGGTAGGGTATGAAAAAGTAAGGGTAAAAGTGGTTTTCTAATAGAAATGTAACGGATTTTACGGGACCCAGTTTTTTCTAAACGTAACAAACTTTTTGGGACGGAGGGAGTATAAGTTTAATATAATTGAGTTCATCGTAAGATAATGTTTTGATATATAAAATTTTTATAACACTTATTTATTTAGATTATGTTTAATTTATGATCAATGAGTTTCATTGTTTGACCAAAATTAAAACAAATAAAGTTTTCAAGGATAGAGGAAGTACATATATACACTCATTGTTAAATAAATGCATGTTCTTAATTAACTGATAAATTGTATTACTCTCTCCGTCCCTAAATAAATTTTCTCTTTCGTTTTTTCTTTGTCTCCAAATAAACTTCTCTTTTACCTTAAAAAACCCCTTTTACCCCTTACCTTTTCATATCCTACCTATCACATCATATCTTTTTACTAATAATCTACATATCATATCTTACTTTTACACATCACATCAAGAGTATTTTTGAAAAGTCAACACAAAAATATCCCTCCCTTAAATCCTCAAAAAGTCAAAAAGGGACGTTTATTTAGGGACGGAGGGAGTATTATATTATACTCCCTCCGTTTAACAAAATCTTTATGCCCTAATTATTTGCGCATCTCATTAAACACTTCTACTCTCACCTAAAATATCTAAAGTATACCTTTTTATGTTGTTTATTACAGGTAAAAATTATTTTCAGGTATTTAAGATATTTTAGGTGGAATCGAAATATTTTATGAGATGCACAGAAAATTAGATGAAAGTGTTTTGTGAAAGGGTGGGTATATGAATTATTTTCTCATTTCCGGCATGCAGATATATGGAAGTATTGAAGCATCTGATAACCGGTCGGATTACCTGAATGATCGGAGACATTGGCTTAAGTTTAGTAGTATTCAAAATTTGATGGTTGAAGGTGGTGGAACTCTTAATGGAAATGGGAAAATATGGTGGCAAAATTCTTGTAAAATCAATAAATCTCGTGTAAGTCACCTAGCCTGGATAAATTTCCTAATTACTCTCTATCATATTCGTTATATAAATTATTTCTTCAATTTTTTTTTGTTGTAATCTTGTTTTTTTCTTTCGCATGCAGCCATGCAAAGATGCACCTACGGTGAGTGAATTAACTTTTTCTATTAAGCTTCAATCCTTACATACTTTCTGCTTATCTCACCCCATAAAGATGTTTTTGTTTTGACTTTTAAAAAACTTAAGGAGAGATAATTTTATGTTGACTTTAAAAAATATTCTTGATGTGATTGGTAAGAATGAATGTGATGGGTAGATTATTACTGTATTAAAAAAGGTGATGTGATAGGTAGGTTAAAATTTACTTCCTCTGTTCCTTAAAAATTTTCACATTTTGACTTTTAAGAGAATAAAGAGAGTAATATTTTTATATTGACTTTCCAAAAATATCTTTGATGAGATAGTTAAAAGTAGGATATATATGATGGATAAATTATTAGCAAAAAAAAGTATAATGTGATAGGTAGGATAAAAATTATTATTAGGGGTAAAATGGGTTTTTAATGATAGAAATGGAAAGAACTTTGTGAAACAAAGAAAAAAAGGAGGAGTTTATGGGACGGGGGGAGTAGTAGGGATAAAAATAGTTTTTTAATAAAAGAGAGATTTTCTGTGACAAGAAAAAAAGAAAGGGAAAGGAATTTTTTGAGACGGAGGGAGTATAATTTAGGGGTGTGCACAATTTTGTAAACCGATCGAACCGTGCCAAAACTGAAATTTCGGTACATACTGAAACCAAACCAAATAATTTGGTTCAGTATTCGGTTTTTCCTTTTTCTAAAAATTAGTTTCTGGTTTGGTTTTAGTGAAATTTGCATTAAATAGGACTAAAACATAATGACTTTCCCAATGTAGAACTTGAACTTTTTTATTCTCTAAATAGGACTTAATAATGACCTGGTGGGAGGAATAATGTCCAGTAATGATGGACGTTTACTTGAATAATGACTATTTTATAATGACCAAAGGTCCTACATTGGGAAATAAAAACATATGATTCTATATTGGGAAAGTCATTATGTTTTAGTCCTATTTAGGTAAATTTTTCTTGGTTTTACTTAATAATTTTGTAATTTGGTTTTTACCAAATACCGAATAATTATTCGATTTTATTACTTTAAATGTTTTGAAGTTTGAATTCTAACCCGGAGTTCTAGCCACTCATATAGTGGTCTACCTTATCTTATCATTCCTTTTTTGCACAATTTTAATCTCTAAAAAACTCCATATCTAGCTAAATTTTGTCATACTTACTATTTGACAACTCTTTACTATTCAACTTTGGTTTCGTTTATTCTAAATGATCAATACATTGACCTCACTTATTAGGGAGATTATATATATATATATATATATGTGTGTGTGTGTGTGTGTGTGTATAATTTTAATAATTTTATCCAAATAATGTTAAAGAACGTACTCTTTATATTACACTTTTGGTTTTTCATTTTAATTTTTTTTATTTTGATTTCTTTTTTTATATTTCAATTTGTTTTACATGATCAAAATTGTGTGCTTCGATAATATTTTAATAATATGAAAAATTAATTAATTTATGAGTGACTATAGCTAAAAAAGTTTAAAGTACTTCTAATTTCTTTAAATTTTGAATGAGATTGCTAGTAATACAAATTGAAAATAAAAAAAGTAAACTATAGATGAAAATAAAATGAATTTTTTGGTTTTTTCATTATTACCGAATACCAAACCAAAATATTTTTGTTGGGAATAAAACACACAACACACACACACACAAATAATCTGCGAGAAACGAGAGAAACGGAACACGGACGACACACAAGAATTTAACGTGGTTCGGTTTCCCTAATCCACGGCTGCAACACGAAGATTCTATTTCACTTGTCGTGTCTCACGGAATTACAAGTACAAGGCTCAATATATAGGAGGAAAACAACCTAGGGTTACATCACATGGGCCGGACCAACAAGACAAGGGCCGGGCCAACAAGACAAGCCCAAGCCTCCACAAACCCAACATTTTCCCACTTGGAGGCTTGATAATCATCAACTGCCATCCGCCAAGATCGCCTGTACGTCGAGTAATCTTCCTCAGCTCTCCTGTTGCAGCGGCCCTCTCATCAGACAACTGAAAGGCCCGTTGAAGCTCTCCCAAGCTCCAACACATCAGTCACGGCTAAATCTGCCCCTGACTCGTCCTCGGTCCCTACCGGCTCCCACTGCAGACGCACACTGCCGGATCCTGGAACATCCTCAGAACAAACAATCTCCGTACTCAGCAAGAAATTTTCTGGAGATGTTCAAACAGCTGGAATACTGGTTCTCCTGACCCACTGTCTTCTAGGCAACTTGGCTGAAGCGCCTCTTGAGCTCCCACTGCCACAAATACCTCTGACTGGCCCCCTTGAACCTTTCCTCGCTCGTTCATCCTGAGTCTGACCAGTGGCTCTAGGTTTCTCTCTTGCACAGACAACCTTATTCTGCCCACGAGACTCTGTGAACCGGAGTTTGTTTCTTTTCTGAACTGGGACGGTCACTCCCTCAGATGGTAACTCGACCCTGTACAGCGAACCTCTCTTCTTTCCACGGGCCATGACAAGATTTCCCTTCACGACCTTCCACTGCCCATCCCTGAACTTCACCTCGTGTCCCTGTTCGTCCAACTGCCTGACAGAAATCAAACTTTTCTTCAAGCCTGGAACAACTCTGACATCCTTCAAAGTCCAGAAACCGACTGGGGTCTTTAACACCATGTCACCCATGCCCGTCACCTCAAGAGCTCTATCGTCTGCTAGTCGTACCTTTCCAAAGTCTCTAATAACCAGATTTTGCAATGCTTCACTCCTGTGGGTAGCATGAAATGAAGCGCCAGAATCCATGACCCAGGAATCCACATTGCTTTCCTCACAGCAAGTCAGAGTGACTTCCTCGTCCCTCGCAGAACCTTCAGCAATGTTCACTTTCTTGTCATTCGGGCATTGATTCTTAAAATGCCCTACCTCCTTGCACTTCCAGCACGTTACACCTGAGCTGTCGCGAGTCTTCGACTGACTCCTTCGTCTGTTCCCGCTCCCACTACCTCTGCTATTTCTTCTGCCTCTACCAACATGAAGCAATTCACCAAATGACTCCCCTGAACTCTTTCTTCTGACATTCTCACCAAGAACGAAATCTCGAATCTGATCAAAGGTGAATCCATCAGGTCCCACTGAACCGGTAACCGCTGTAACCGTTCCGGACCAACTATCAGGTAAAGACGATAGCAGTAGTAAAGTTTGAACTTCATCATCGAACTTAATGCCCACTGACAAAAGTCTGGCTAAGATCGAATTCAACTTGTTGATATGCTCGGTAACTGAAGTGCCTTCTTTCATTTTTGTGTTCACCAGCTCTCTGATCAGAAAAACTTTGTTAGCTGCAGATGACTTCTCGTACATGTTAGACAACGCTTCCAAAATTCCTTTCGCTGTCTTCTCCTTCAGAATGTTGAACGCAACATTCTTGGTCAACGAGAGACGGATCACGGACATAGCTTTCCGATCCAATCCTGCCCAATCTGCATCTGACATCTTTTCTGGCTTGTCACCCAATACCACGTCCAAATCTTTCTGAACCAGCAAATCTTCAATTTGCATCTTCCACCAACTGAAATTTGTACCATCGAACTTCTCAATTCGGAACTTCCCGTCTTCTGCCATCTCAAACGACTAGACGAGATACCCGGTACAACTAATTTCAGATCTTGGTATTTTTGTCAGAAAATCAGGCCCACCACACCAATTAAATTAGCCACAACAAATCAGCCCAATATCCACCTTAAGAAAAATTACGGCCCAAACCTAAACAAGCCCAAAACACCAAAAAACTCCACCAACTGCCTAAAAAAAAGATGACTGACCAATTAAAACAAATTGGCCCACCTTTTTTCCTTTCTTCGCACCTGCCCCCCAAAAAATTCAGCTCCTTGGATCGGCGGCTTCAATTGGTCAAGCAGGAGAAGATGGCAGCGGTCTCTGCGCGGCGGCAATGGACGGCGGCAGCTCTCTACCGGCTGCTGCTCCGGTGTTCTACGGCGAAGCTGTGCGCAGGTTACACGACTGCGGCGGCGGATCCTCAATGCGGCGACGGCTCCTCAACGCGGCCTGACTGCACGCGGACGGCGGATTGACGGTGGGTTCGGTTCTGCACTGGACGACGGCGGCGACTCGGCGAGCGATCTGATCCGGAAGAACACCGATTGACAATTTCCAGCGGCTACTTCGACGGCGGCGTTGGTTTGCTCACCCTCGCTCTTGCGCGTCTCTCCTCTAGATTGCAGAACCTGCCGCTACGCAAAAATCCTACACAGCGACGCTCTTCAACGGCAAAGGATTTGGACGGCTGCGGCTGCACACGAACAGATCTGGAAAACCCTAGGCGACAATTTTCTCACAATTTGTGCTCTAGTGTTGTAGAATCAGGCTCTGATACCACTAGTTGGGAATAAAACACACAACACACACAAATAATCTGCGAGAAAAGAGAGAAACAGAACACGGACGACACACAAGAATTTAACGTGGTTCGGTTTCCCTAATCCACGGCTGCAACAGGAAGATTCTATTTCACTTGTCGTTTTCACGGAATTACAAGTACAAGGCTCAATATATAGGAGGAAAACAACCTAGGGTTACATCACATGGGCCTGGCCAACAAGACAAGGGCCGGGCCAACAAGACAAGCCCAAGCCTCCACAAACCCAACAATTTTTTGTATTAACCATACCAAATCGATTTATTACAGTTCTGTATTCGGTACAAAAATAATTTTACGATTCGGTTCGGTACGATTTTACCAAATGAACACCCTACCCCTAGTATAATTTAATCCGTAACTCTCTCCTTCCTCAACCCAAATAAAATTTACTACTCCCTCCGTCCCATGAAACATGGGAGTTTTGCTTTTTAGGAAGGATTTAAGGAGAGTGTATTTTGGTATTAAATTTCCAAAAATGTCCTTTGATGTGATGGGTAAAAGTATAATTTGATTGATAGATTATTAGTAAAAAGGTATGATGTGATAGTTAGGGTATGAAAAAGTAAGGAGTACTTTTTATTAAGTTTTGACTTCTTTGCCATCAATAAAGATTAACCTTTGACCTATATATAATTAAATAAAAATTATAATTTTTATTTAATTGAGGTTGAAAGTTTGTAAAGTTTTACTTACAAAAGTCAAACACTACGAATACACTTAGACTAAGGTAATATTTTTTTGAAATGTATTTTTCAAATGCTACCTCTGTCCTTGAGTATCTGTCCTGTTTTGACTTCTTGCAATAAATTATTTTCAACCTTTGAACACAAACTAAATAGAAATGATATGGTATATTAATTAGAGAAAATAATATTTTGAAACTATTTTATAAACTAAATCTAATAAAATTATTTCTCTATTAATATCTAGTATCAATTTTATTTAATTAGTGGTTCAAGTTTATCAATTTTGACCAAAAAAATTCGAAATTAGACAAATGTTCAAGGACGGAGGTAGTACTCTGGATCATATTTTTTAATATATATTTACTCTTTCTATCCGGATATAATCGATCTTTCCTTTTAAATTTTTAAGGTCTGTAATGTATACATTGACCATTAGTATTGATATTTATCAATAGTTATGTTTTATAAAAAATTAATATTTTAAAACTATATTCGAAAAGAAAATAATTGACATTCCATTTATACCAAAACACAATGTATTTTTACAATCTGTATATCAAAGTTAAAGCTTACAAACTTTGACAAAAAAATCAAATGAAAATAAAGATTAAATCGAGATGGAGGAAGGAGTATATATTTATAAATAAATAATAGAAATTTTAGTCAAAGTGTTATATTATATGACACCATAACTAAATAAATAAATGCCAATATATACTATACTACATACTGTTATTAATTAATACCTCACGATGCGACAAATAATTTTTAGCAAATTTTGTAATAAGTGGTTCAAAATTCAAATACACACACCGTACCAAAGAAAGTACTCTATCCATCATTTTGATTTTTCTCAGTTCTCACTTTGACTTTCATTTTTAAAGTTTGACTATTTCATTATGTAAACAATACTTTAAACTGTACGGAGTAATATAAATTTTATATAAAAAGTTTTATCTTGAAACATAGTTTCAAAATATTATATTTTTATTTTTATTTTTTCATTTTAATATGATATATAGATATAGATATATATATATATATATATATATATATATATTATTACTATTTTTAAATTTTTTTCTCTCTCCTCTTGATAACTTTTGTCTATTTACGCAATTTCTTAATTATTGGATAAAATAAAATATTCTTGTAAGGTCTTGTTTTGTAGAGCTTTTGACGTAGTTTTTTAATATATAATTTTTATTTTTATTGATATACAAATTTGTAAATAAAATAATTTCAAAAAGTTGGATATTTTTCCTTTATAAACTCCAATTTGTAATCAAATTTAAAACGGATGGAGTATATTGGTCTATCAATAAATAAAGATTTTAATGGTCAATGCATTGCCAAGAAATATGGAAAAAGTCAAATGAGAAGTATCAAGTGGACAGAGAAGGTATTATACGGAGTATTACAAATTTGGCATAGAAAAAGTGAAATTTGCACTAAATAGTACTAAAACATAATGATTTTCCTAATGTAGGACTTAAACTTTTTTATTCCCTAAATAAGACTTAATAATGACCTAGTGAAATGAATAATGTCCAGCAATGATGAATATTTAGTTAAATAATGACTACTTGATAATGACCAAAGGTCCTACATTGGGAAATAAAAACATATGATCCTATATTGGAAAAATCATTGTATTTTAGTCCTATTTAGGTAAATTTCTCATAGAACAATGGGATAACCATTTTTGAAAAATTTTTACGAACATACTCCCTCTGTCCCAAAAAGATTTACACGTTTCAAAAAAATTGCGTCCCACAATCCCTTACCCATTTCTATTAAAAAACCACTTTTACCCCTTACTTTTTCAAACCCTACCTATCACATCATACTTTTTTCCTAATAATCTACACATCACATCATACTTTTACACATCACATCAAGAGTATTTTTGGAAAGTCAACACAAAATTATCCTCCAACTCCCTTAATTTCTACTTTAGTCAAAACGGAGGGAGTATATATTATAGGCTTTTTTTTTTCAGGCGTTGACTTTTTACCAATGCAAGATGTTGATGGTGAAAGATCTTAACATAAAAAATGCACAGCAAATACATGTCTCCTTCGAGAAATGCACAAACGTACATGCTTCTAATATCGTCGTGACCTCACCCGAGGACAGCCCCAACACCGACGGTATCCACGTCACCAGCACAAAATATATTCGAATATCGGGATGCACCATTGGAACTGGTAATTAACAAAACTCTTTTTTTTTTCTTTCAAAGATCGAGTGTTTAAAACTTTGTCAAGTTATAATCAACTACGGAGGATCTAATTTATTTGTAGGTGATGATTGTATATCGATTGTTAGTGGCTCAAAAAACGTTAAGGCAAGAGATATTACTTGTGGCCCAGGGCACGGGATCAGGTGATCAGTAATGTAGAGCTTGTTTTTTAAATTTATTCTTATTACTTATGTTTATTTTTATGTGTATATCAATTGTCAAATTAAACTAAGAAAATGTTTCTCTTGGTGTAAACTACCATTTATTTTGTTTAGTTACACAGTTTGTTAGTTTGTTAGGAAGATATTTTTGGTTGTTACTTGTTTTTCATTTTCTATATATAGGACTTAATCATGTAATACACAATTTGATCTAGTTAATACAATAGGATCCTTTCATTTCCAACATGGTATCAGAGCTGGTTGCTTTAGCTCCAAGCAATCGCTCCTTATCTTCAATTTTCTCTCTCCCACCATTTTAGGCTTCTCAATTCTTCAATCCTTATCTTCAATTTCAACTCCTAGATTTCCGTCGAAGAAGAAGCTGAATCGTCAATTACCTCAAGGCACTGATTCCTCCTCCAATGGCGTCTTCTACCTCTAGATTTATCGCTGACGTTCTGCTCATCGTCATCCTGAACCAATCCGACTCCGTCTCCGCCGTCCAGACGCGAGAGATGGACTCGATATTAACAGCTCTGAGAAGCAACGGCTACGGTCTATTCAGCAACGCCATTATCACCTCCGACCTCTGGTACGATCTCGTCGACGGCAGAGAAGCTGCTCTCGCGGTCTTCGCCCCGACCGATTCATCTCTCTTTGCGCTGGACATGGTGAATTCGGCGTTCAATTACACCGCCACTCTGCGCTGCCACGTCGTCCCCCACCGTCTCTCTGTCCGCGGCCTCAATAGGATCCGTCCTGATTCATCTCTCCGCACTCTAGCCGCCGATCATGATCTCCGCGTAGAGAGCCGTCGCTCTACACCTGATGTACTGGTGCGGCAGCCGGAAACTCCTAGGAGTGAACCGCCAGGCGGTTACTCAAACGGAATATCCTTGGGAATCCAATCTCACCATCGCCAAATCCAATTCCCCTGTCTCACATCGCTTAAAAAAAGGCAGTGGCAATCCACGAATTTTTCCATTGATAATTCATCAATGGATGTCAATCCGAGTGGAGAAAGCTTCAATTTGACGCCATCTCCGTCTATTGATCTCTCCAAATCAGGTTTCATCACAGATTGAATAGAATTCACATATTCATCATTTTGACTTTGCCATCTCTGTTTCATCTTCATCATAACTGATCCTCATTCATCTTCTGTTCATTATATTGGTTCTCAAATTGAGTATCCAACTTCATTTTCATTCTCATGATTGGAATGTTTAGTTTCAGTCATTCTTTCACTTCTGTAAATTCAAAAGTTTCATCATTATTCAATTTCACTCAATCGGTTTGATTGAGTTTCACTCGTATCGTTTTGATCGAGTTTCACTTTCATCATCATCCGGTTTCCGGTTGATTTCATCAATTGCTTTTGTCAATTGGTTTCATTTCATCATTTGATGTTTTCATTTGAATTCATCAATTGATTTGTCATCTCATCTTCATCATCGGTTGTGTATGGTTCACTTCTCTGATTATTCTGGAGAACCATGGCAGCCATCACTATCACCTCTTGTCTTCAAATTTTATCTTTGGACATGGGAATGATGCTATCTACATTCAAAAGCATTGCTTTTCCCATTCAACAGAGAGTTGTGTCTCTCAATTTCAGAACCATGGCTTTTAGATTTCTTGGGTTGCCAAGTCAGACGTGTTATTTGTGGCGGAAGAAAGACAAAGAAGTTAAAAGAGAATGGATCTGCAGATCCCTCTGGTGGACATACAATTAGCAGGTTGTTCCCTCACACTTTTTGGTCAGCCATTGGCTCATTTTCTGAGAGCAAAATGCAAATGTCCCAATTGCTCAAATAATCACAGAACACCCAGCAATTAGGGTTGGACTTGTTTTCTGTGGTAGACAATCTCCAGGAGTACATAATGTCATATGGGGGTTGTATGATGCCCTCAAAGTTCACAATTCTAAAAGCACTTTGCTTGGATTTTTGGGTGGTTCTGAAGGTCTATTTGCACAGAAGACACTTGAAATCACTGATGACATTCTGGCTACATATAAAAATCAATGTGGTTATGACATGCTGGGCAGAACTCAAGATCAAATTGGAACAACTGAGCAAGTAAATGCTGCTTTGTCTGCTTGTACACCCTTAAAATTGGATGGTCTTGTCATCACTGGAAGTGTCAAACACAAGATGCTATAAACTTCTTAAAAAGCTTGCTGTTTATGCATGGTCAACAAGGATCTTATTCAGTTGCAAGTTGAAGTTGTTCCCACCTTCAACTTGAGGGGGGTGTTGGTGTAAACCACAATTTATCTTGTTTAGTTGATTAGTTACACAGTTTGTTAGTTTGTTAGGAAGATATTTTTGGTTGTTACTTGTTTTTCATTTTCTATATATAGGACTTAACCATGTAATACACAATTTGAGCTAGTTAATACAATGCGATCCTTTCATTTCCAACAGTTTCACTGTGTTGGTCGTTAATTATTTGCTTATTGTTGATAAGTAATTTTTATTATATAAACTACTTATAAGTTAAATATTCAAAAATGATGAGAAATAATTTTGTAACAAAACAGTGAAGCGACAGTCTTAAAAGTATGTAGATAAGACTTACTTATTTTATTTGATTTGTAAGCAAGTTATAAACATAGAAAAACATGTCATCAGCTAACTTATAGTTAAAAACTGTTCATAAACAATTTTAATCAGCTTATAAGAATAGAGAAACACCTACTAAATACAAGTTGTAAAAACTATTTTCACTTTCGAAAAAATGATATTTAAGATAGGTATAGTATGAGTCTTATTGACCTATTTTGGTTATATTTTTTTTAAGTAAGAATAAAATATGATTGATATATTAAATAATAAATATTTATGATGTAATATGTACGGAGTATGTTATTTAGTACGGTTTAGTTGATAGGGTAAAACATATATACCTACTTCGTTTTAACAATTTCTTTTTTATTCTTTATGTTTTGTTCACCACTAAAACTTTTGCAAAAAAGAATAACTAATATATGTAAATAAAGTTATTGCAATATACTATATTCATTTTGCAAAAGATATACTCCTTCCGTTCCTTTAAAGCCTTCCACTTTTAACTTTTGGAAAAAATAAAGAAAGTGTAATTTTGGTTGACTTTTCAATTTTGCCCCTGATGTGATAGATAAAAGTAAGATGTGATAGTTTGTTTATTAGTGAAAAAGTATGATGTGATAGGTAGGGTATGAAAAAAGTAAGGGTAAAAGTGGTTTTTTAATAGAAAGTGAAAGTGTTTTAATTCAAAAAAATGAAAGGGGAAGAGTTTTGTGGAAGGGAGGAAGTAATACTTTATTTTAGTGATTTATCTACCTTTTTTATTCAACACTAAAGATATACTCTCTCGGTCCCTGAAACCCTTCTCTCCTTTTTCATCCATCTGTTCCTAAAAAAATTCTCATTTATATTAAAAGGTTACTTTACTCTCACTAATTCTTAACCTACTTATCACATCTCATATATTCATTATAAATTTACCCAAGAAATCCTACTTTTACCCATCACATCAAATAAGGATATACTATATATATGATATTTTTAGAAACTCAAGACCAAAATACACTGCCTTAAATTTCTTACAAATCGAAATCTCTCATGCTTTAAGGGATGGAGGGAGTAATTAGAAAGTAAAATTACAAAAATAAATCTACCAAAAATCAAAATAAAAAGAGTGTAATTGAAGTAGAAAAAGTTTTTTGGGAACGTAGAGAGAAGAAAGATGTTTTGGGTCTTTAAATTTCATTTTTTAATATGTGGTGATGGATGGATGGAGTTTATAGCATTGGAAGCTTAGGAGCTGGAAATTCGAAAGCTTACGTGTCTAACGTTGTTGTGAACGGAGCAAAGCTTTCTGGAACCGCAAATGGGGTCAGGATCAAGACCTGGCAGGTAAATTAATAGCGTACTTATCAATAGTTCATTATATCAACTCTACATGTTAATTAATTAAGATTTCTTTTAGTGAAATTTGCAATAAATAGGACTAAAATGTAATGATTTTCCTAATCTAGGATTCAAACTTTTTTATTCCCTAAATAGGATTTAATAATGTCTTCGTGAAAGGAATAATGTCCAACAATGATGGACATTTACTTGAATAATGACTAATTAATAATGACCAAAGGTCCTACATTGGGAAATAAAAACATATGGTCCTATTTTGGAAAAGTCATTATGTTTTAGTCCTATTTAAGTAAATTACTCTTTATTTTATCGTATCGATGCAAGCTAATACCCTTAATTGCGTTATTGTTATTGGCACGTTGACCCTATGAGTATATTTTTATAAACAATATATAGTACTCCATTATGAGTATATTTTTATAAATTTATATATAGTACTCCATACTACTTAGTGTGTGATATTATGTATATATATAGGGAGGATCGGGGACGGCAAGCAACATCAAATTTAAGAACATACAAATGCATGGTGTGGAGAACCCTATAATTTTAGACCAAAACTATTGCGACCAAAAGAAGCCATGCAAAGAAGAGGTAATTAAACTAATAAAGAAATATGTAGTACTCCCCCCCGTTCTATAACACCTTCCAGTTGCGTTTTACGATATTTAAAAAAAAATATTTTTTATTTAATTTTTAGAAAAATAGCTGGAAAAAAATTAATAAGATAATTGGTGCGGAATTGAAAAAATAATGTATATATATTTAAAAGCTAAATAAAAAAATTACAGAAATAGAATGATATATCTATCATAAATTTTCTTATCAAATAAATTAAATATAAAAAAATAGGCTAGCAAAATGGATAGTAAACACGAATAGTGAATGTTGGAGTCTATCCCACACCGGAACTTGTAGTGAAAAATAAACCGGTATATAAGCCCTTGAGTTGAATTAACTAATCGATTGGATTCAATCTTTTAATGTGGTTCAACCCAAATGTCTTATTGCCCAATCCAATTGTCCATACCCATCCTAAATTCTATCAGTGAACATGAAAAAAGTTTTAAGACGGAGAGAGTACTATTTACTCCATAATTAGTTAATGCTTCATTTATCTCATATCTTTGTTCATATATACTCCGTATTTGATTTTTCTAGG